TAGGAAACTGATAACATAAAACATCCCATTAGGCTATTTCATGTTATTAAATATCAGAATCTTTGGGCATAAAAGGTAGATTAGTAGTCTTCTTGAACTGGGAAGAATGGAAATGTAAATGACTGTTTATGGGTGCAGAGCCCCATTTTAATAGATAGCAGTAAAATGCACACCTCTTTGAATATGAATAGACTCAAAACCACTGAATTATATCTTATAATTATCCCATAAGCCTCATGAAGTATATCTTATAAAGTCATTGATGAAGAGAAAAAAAGCCAGACCTCAAATGGGAGCATTTATTGTTAAGATAGCTTTGCTTTTTTTCTGCCATATTTAAAGGAAGATTATAAACCCTTTATTTATACCTCCCCATCCCACCCACAACATTAAGGGAAAAGAGGAGAAAACATGGTTTGTGGTGGTGGTAGTGGTAGTAGTGGTATTTGGTTTTGCTTTACTTTTTTGTTCTATTCTTTTTTTCTGGCTGGATGGGGTGACAAAGATGGGTGCAGAAATGGAGGGAAGAAGGATGAACAAATGCAGGCATGGGTACTCAATAGACTCTGGAAAAGGAACTGTGCAACTTGTGGGGAGGTACAGGAGGGGAAACTGGAGGAGAGCAAAGGAAGGGGTGACATTGTCCCAAAAGAAATGTACTCATTATCAGACTTAAGAAACGATAACCCCCTTTGTACAACACCTTAATCATAATAAAGTTATATTTTTAAGGAGGAGGGAAAGCCCAGTGTGTGAACTTATCATCATCCCAGCACTCCAGGAGCACCAGAGGGAGAAATAGGATGAGTTTAATGCTAGCCTGGGCTACAGAGGAAGTTCCAGGGCAGCCTGGGGTAATAATGAGCCCCTATCTCAAAAGGGAGACAAGACAATTTTGAGCTGAATCTTGAAAATGGAAAGTTACACACTATTTAGAGAGGGAGAGAATGGTTAAATTCTTATTGATCCAGTTATATGTTAAATATGGTTGCAATGTATGGTTAGGAAAGTATTACAGAATATGAGTTTGTTAGGAAGAAGTAAGGAGTTATGAACAGTATCCAGATCACATTCGTTTACAGGAGTCTGAAAACCACTGCAGAATTTTAAGCAGAGGAGTAATATTTTTCTAATAAGGTTTCTTTTACTTCATTCTTGATTTCTGTAGAGCTACCTGCACATATGGCTGTATTGCTGAAGTTTGGCGACCTCTGGTGTTGAGCTATAAAAACAGCATGTCTGTGAGAAAAACATATTGCAAGAGCTTTGATAAAAATTTCCTTTGGCCTTTTTTTTTTTTTTTTTCTTTGAAGACAGTTACTGTTGATTCACAGTTCCTGATTTTTTTTTATTTTTCAGTGTCTGGATAATTTGTAACTAATGAAATGAAGAAAAATAATACTACCAAGAGATGTGGTTAGGATGAAGTACAGCTGAAATGATTGATTTATTAGAAAAAGATAAACAACATCTTCAAAGGGGTACGATAGACTGAGGCTTTGAATCTTTCTGCCACCTACTCCCATGGATTTCAGTTGTCCTGTGTCACAAATGAAATTTGTGACTATATAATTCAGCTAGAATAAATCATGTGGAAGAATAGTCTTAATAAATCAGCATCTCTCTCCTTCCAGAACTTTCCTTCTTTCCTTCATCATCCCAGTTCACTTTTGCCTCACACATGATCTCTGCTGATCTTTCTGTGTGGATCTTTACTATTGTTGATTTATGTAGAGAAAACTGTTTAATGAAGGAATAAATGAGTTAAATAAGTGAATGACTTCAGAGGCTAAAAGAAAAAAAATTCTCAATTATATTGTATCTTTACTTACATAAGCATGCAGATTTTACATAAAATAATCTTGATTCTAGGGTTTGACTCAGACTTACAGTGCTGTATTTAAAATGGCATTTTAGGAAGGATAAATATTTGATTGGTTCTGTAAAGACAATACTATTTTTTGTTGTTTTGGTTTGGTTTTTTGTCAGTTGTGGGCCTGAACTCTGGGCCTGGGCATTGTCCCTCAGCTCTTCAGCTCAAGGTTAGCCCTCTACCACTTGAGCCACAGCGCCACTTCCGACTTTTTCTGCTTATGTGGTGCTGAAGAATCGAACCCAGGGCCTCATGCATGCAAGGCAAGCACTCTACCACTGAGCCACCTTCGCAGCCCAAGACAATACTATTTTTAAATCAAGTGAATTTGTAATTTATATGCAATAAAATATAGCCATTTCAAGTGTACTGTTTAATGAGTTTCAACAACATATATGCCTTTAAAATTGTCAAGAACATTTTTAGGACAAAACGATCATAAAATGTATATGAGACTACAAAAGACCACAAATAGCCCAAGTAGTATTGAGTAAAAAGCTCAAGATTTATACCTGACCTCAAAGCATATTGTAAACTGTGGTAACTGCCACTGGCATAAAATTCACACAGATCAGTGGAGCAGAATAGAGGGACCCAAAATAAACCCATACAACTGCAACTAACTGGTCTTTAAACAAAGGAATCAAAACATACTTTGGAAAGAGGAAAGTCTCCTTGAATAAATGGTGGTCTTTCTTTTTTATTAACTTATTTAACTTAAAAACTTACACAGTTTTTTAAAACTTCTCTTTTTAATATTCTCTGTCACTCAAGTCCATATCTTTGATACTCATTTTCCCCTGCTTGCTTGTTACTTTTACAGCCTCCTAACTTTTATAGAGCATATACTTCCAAACGATTTTTCTAGTGTTTAGCCCTTTTCTAAATGATAAACCTAAAATCCACCAAGCTAGAGAACTCTTCCTGCTTTTTACCACATAGTTTGTTTCAATACTATTTTCTTTCCGGGTTTACTCTTTCATGACTAATAACTTAAACATTTTTTTTCACAACTACTAAAATTGTAAAGGAATTAGTTGCCCTCTAACCAATTCAGCAAATCTGATAAATCTTCTGAGTTGCTATAGTCAATTAATTGTTGTCAATCATATTGAATCTTTCTGGAGTAGAGAGCATCAGTTGTTTCTCTTAACCAGCTATATGTACTTCTCCATCCTACCCTCCACACCTCGGGAGGGACTACCAGGCTCTGGTAGTCCTGTTATATGTCCTGCTTCTTTGAGGTTAACTGTTTAACTGCCATATAAGAGAGAATATGTAATACTTGTTTTCTATATGGGCATATTTCACCTAAAATTATGTCCTCCCTGTTCACAAGTGTTTTCTCACAGTCTATGATATGCCTTTTCATTTTTTGAAAAGTATCTTTTGAAGAAGAAAGAACTTGAGATTTCAGTGAAGTTTTGAAAATTTTAATGGAATCTAGGTTATTAGAACAAATAACAATGACAAAAATGAGAACTTCACACTTTGCCCTGAATATTTATACAAATACCTATGATAATTACTGATGGCTACTGACAACTTAGTGTTTCTGTGAAACTATACTGAGATTGTAAAATAGTTTACTTTTTGAAAATAAATCTACTTTATTGTCTTTTTATTTTTCTTTTGGCCCAAGACTGAGGCTCAAACTTGGTATCTGGCTCTTTTACTCATGGGATAATGTTCTACCAACTGAGCTATACCTGTAACTCCAATAAACTTAAATTTTAGGTCTTTTTGGTTATACAGATAAGTAACGTGGCATATCTTGAAAACGATTAGTTTTACTCTATGATATCCTTTCCCCTTCCCTCCCTTCTCTATTCAACACTGGTGCTGGGCCTTGAACTCAGGTCCTGGGAACTGTCCTTGAGCTCTTTTGCTCAAGGCTAACACTCTACCACTTGAGCCATAGCCCCACTTCTGGTTTTCTGGTGGTTAATTGGAGATAAGAGTCTCATGCACTTTTCCTACCCAGGCAAGCTTTGAACCACAATCCTCAGATCTCAGCTTCCTGAGTAGCTAGGATTATAAACATGAGTTACTGGTACTTGATGTGTGATTTCTTTTTCTTACCTGTCTTGTGCTGCCAGGTGCAGTGCCTAGCACAGCTCTAGAAGCAATGAAGTGTTCAGTATACTTTTAGTTGTGCATTTATTAATACACTATATGTGAGCTCACTGTAGCAGGAAATTTCTTGTTTTTGTATTCTTCACAGGTCACAATATAGTTCCTTGGAATATAAGAAACATCAAATTTTAGTGATTGAGTGAAATTAATAATGTACTTGAGCTGGCCACAGGTAGCTTATGCCTATAATCCTAGCTGCTCAGTATGCTAAGATCTGAGGATTGTGGTTCAAAGCCAGCCCAGGCAGGAAAGTCTATGAGACTCTGATTGCCAATTAACCACCAAAAAAGCCAGAATTGGAGCTGTGGTTTAAATGGTAGAGCACTAGCCTTGCAAAACAAAAAATAAAAACAACAACAACAAGAACTCAGGACAGCTACTAATCACTGAGTTCAAGTTCCAGAACAAGAAAAAAAATAATGATGTACTTGAGTAATGTTGATGGTAAAGCTTTTGGCTTTACCTTGTTAACTGAGTAAAAGATACTGTTATTTCAGATGTCATCACTGCAAATAAATTATTTCTAAAGAGAAAAGAAGCTGCCTGGTTTTTACTTAAAATTTTATTTATTAAGTGTTGAAGATTATTTCAGAATCTCATTTAATTTTTTTTAAAACTATCCCATGTGCTTTATATTCCAGACACTGTAAAGCCAGTTCGGGTATTACTTTTCTTACTTTTACAGCTACCAAGGCCAGTGTTCAAATACAGGAAATAGAGCCACAGTTACTTGAATATCTTCTAGTAATTTTTTTTATGATTTCAGGGTTAACTTCATAATCGTAGAAGTCTGTCTAGGATAATGTAACATGGAATCTATAGTTTGTTACAAATAATGAGTACTCTTTTACAAAGTGGGCTTCATATAGTAATATGTAATTTATATAATTAAATTTGGAATTCCTTTTTTTCATATCCAGTGCATTAAAACTTAAAGACTCTTTGTAAGTATATTAAAAGGAATAGTGATAATATTCTTTTCTTTTTCTAGGTCCTAGGAACACCAACAAGGGAGCAAATTCGAGAAATGAATCCAAACTACACAGAATTCAAATTCCCTCAAATTAAGGCACATCCTTGGACAAAGGTGAGTTAAACTGAGTTTTAAAAGAAAGCATATTAATCAGTAGTTAACTAAAACTTGGGGGTTTTTTTGTTTTTTTTTTTTTTTACTGATTCTAAACTATTTTGAAACCAGAAAGCTGCCTGAATATATAACTGCATGTTAGTTTTCTATGTAAAGACAGTTGAGTAGTTGTATTTCAAAGTTTTGTTGACAGTTTGTAGTTTTGTTACTATTGACTTCCTGTCGACAGTGTCCACCCTGGACTTTCATTTCCAAGGTAAGAACACTGAACATATATCATTAAAATCTTGGAGAAGAATAATTTTGACAATCTAAAATTCAGAAATTAACTTCTGTTTACATAAAGGTACATATTTCAATATTACATAACAAATTCTAATCTATATTTCATATGTGTTCAATTTACTTTTAAATTATTAAAGTATATTACTGATCTTATAAGGTGTTATATATTTTTTGTTTTGTTTTAAATTTATTTTACTATTGATACTTTGGAAGCAGTATTAAAAAGCAGATGTAATCTGCTTTTCTTTTTTTCAATATACACATTGAAAGCAATCTGTAAGTTTACAGGATGTCAGTAGCTGTTGGAAAGGCCTAATCTAACATTAGGTATAACCAATTCTTAAGAGTACGATTACTTATTTTTGATATGATTTTTTCACTTTGATATTATTTGAAATTATTTTAAGAAATACTTTATTTTAAAGTTTTTTCACCTTAAATTGATAAGCGAGATTAGGTATGCAGAGAAAATGGTAGAATGTCTTAGAATTTGTTAATAGAATAAATCTACATTTACAGATTCAGAAGCTCTAAATCCTCACTTTACAAATTCAGAAGCTCTGGCCCCAGATAACAAGTGAATTATCCATGATTATATAGGTGGCTTGTACCAGAACTAGTAGTAAGCTTGTATTCTTTTACGGTGTGTGCACGCACAGATGCACATAGATATGTTTGTTAATTATGGATACATTAAATTTAGCCATGTATCATACACCATGTATTTATATCATGTATTTGGGGATTAGAAATCATCTACTTTTTAGTTACGTGTTTCGAACAGAGACCTTTTTATATTTTAAAATGTCCACCTAACAGTTTGTTTTATACGTTTATAAATTACTTGGTTATAGATCATTTATAAGATAAAGTAATTTAAAACTATAGATAAAATAATTTAAATTCCTTAGAATTAAAGTATGCCTGCTTCTCTGTCCCTCTTCCCCTTCCTCTTTGCCTCTCTCAGTTGTGTTATGATTCCAGTTACTTTTCTTAAAGTTCTCACAATCTCATTTCCTCCCTTACTCATTATTTCTTTCTTACTTGAAGCAAAGAACTCCATTGTATTTTAGTGTCTCATAATATTTAGGCTCTATATTCTTTCACTGACCAAATAAGCCAAGATGATTAGCTCATCCATTTTACAATCTATGGTAAGCACTAAAGTACTGAATAGCTTGTCATAAAACATTCTTTTATTTTTGCCCCTAAAGTTTATTTTGATTCTGAGTCAGAAGATATTTAGGGGCTCTCACTGGCTCTAAATCCAAAGAATCTTAGGTGACCTGTTTGGATTTAAGCATTGATTTGCAGTTTGAATCCATTAAGATTATTTCAAGTTAAATAATTCTAATAAGTAAATTTTAGTGTACTATGATTGCAGCAAAGAGAGAAATAACAGATAATTCTGAGAGAAATAACAGATAATTCTATGTATTGAATTTAAAAAATAAATTATTTCATAATACTAACAGACTTCAGTAGGAGCGGTGTGAGAGATTTTATTTTCTTTGTTTTATTTATTCATATTTTCTTTGATAATCATTTTATTGTTTATTTGCTTGTGCTGGTACTGGGGTTTGAACTCCGGGCCTAAGCTCTATCCATTAGCTTTTTCTGCTGAAGGCTAATGCTCTCTACACTTGAGCCAAAGCACCACTGCTGTTTTTAGCTTTTGTTGCTGATATTGTTATTGCAGAGCTGAAGGCCAAACTCAGGGCCTTCCACTTAGCAAGCAAGCATTCTTCTACTGAGCTAAATCCCCAATCATGCTACTTCTGGATTTTTGTTTGTTAAAGGGTAATAACTTACTCTAACACCATTCTGCCCAGACTGGCATCAAACCAAGATCCTCGGATCTCATACAATTGATGCTGAAATTGAAATCTTATTTAACAGACCCATTTTCCTTTAAAAAAATAAAACAGCATAGTATGTGCCATATTCTACATTTTCCCCTCAATTATCTCTTTCCAGTGGAAGAATTAGCAAGAGCAAAGTGTGAAGAATTGTCTATTATGATTAAAATGCACCTTAACATACCTGGTGGGATGGCTCGCCTTTCTAATTCCAGCAACGTGGGATCACTGTTCAAGGGTGAATGTGAGACCCTAGCTGAAAAATAACTATGTCAAGAAAGGCTGGGGGCAAGGTTGAAGTCATAGCATTTACTAAGCAAATGCAAGACCCTGAGTTCAAACCCTAGTAGAACCAAAATATAAAATGAGTAAAATGTAGCCAGCAGAACAGCTGTGGTAAATTTGTATGCTTTAAATTTAACTTTGCTTTCTTGAATTTCCAATGTTTCTCTAATATCCCTTAGTACTTTTCAAACTTGAATAATTTGTGTAAGGCCCTTTTACTTAGATCTCCATTTCTATACCATGTGTATAACAGCTCAGTTCTGATACTTTTTGTCTTTTAAAATTACTGTGAACCTTTCATTCATCTAATCCTTTTCATAAGCTGGTTGGTCTTCACTTCATCCAAATGTATTATATAGTAAATAGATTTATGTTAATTTCTGATGAGTACACAAAATCAGATGGTGTGCAGAAATTCCATGCTTCTACTCTGTCAGCTAGATGATCAAAATTAGGCTTGTAATGATTTTTTAAAAAATACTAAAATAATACAAATTTAGATTCCAAGAATAGCTCAGTCTGCTCTTCCTCTACCTCTTCCCCTTCCACTGACAGATGCTACCTTAAGCTAGATAGCCAGGGGAATCATTTTTAAAACATACATGATGCTGGGCGCTGGTGGCTCACACCTGTAATCCTAGCTACTCAGGAGGCTGAGATCTGAGGATTGCTGTTCAAACCAGCCTTGGGCAGGAAAGTCCATGAGACTCTTATCTCCAATTAACCACCAGAAAACCAGAAGTAGCACTGTGGCTCAAGTGGTAGAGCACTCACCTTGAGCTGGAGAGCTGAGTGACAGCACCCAGATCCAGAGTTCAAGCCCCACAACCAACCAAAAAAGAAAAAAAACAAACAAAAAAACAAGCAACAACAACAGCAGAAAACATACATGATGTTGTTCTCTAGAAGGGACATCATCTTGCACTGGGGTCTAGCAAATAGGAGACTATCTTCCATCAGAGCCCACTTCAGTCCCATCCCCTGAAGCTATGGGCATGTGAACCCTGGTTTCCTACACTGTAGTTTACAATTCGATCCCTGGAATACAGGCTTCTATTCTCAAAATTGGACAGAAATGAAGGTATTAAGAGGAAAAGAAAATCCTACTTCTCAGAAACAATAATAGAATACAGATGTATAGGAGAGCTAGAGGAAAACAAAAAACACTATAAACTTCCTTGGATGGTGTATGGAAGGAATCTTGAGGCTTTAAAGACCCATTAAGTTGCCTTTGATTGTTACATAGTAGTCTTTAGTAAAGTACTTGTACTTTAAGTTGGGAAGGAAATAGATGCTAGTGTTTTGAAACAGACATGGTTCCTAGAGGTGAGATAATAAAAGTCCTCTGAATTGTTATATACTGTACACTTCAAAGAATGAAAAACAAGAGTCAGGGATTGGTTGGAAGAAAAGAGTTGTAAATTCTGTAGTTAATACATGAAGGTGTACTTTAATGATAGCTCATTAGCTATGAAGTGTAAGGATCTAGTTTAAACATGCCTTTTCCTAATGTTTATGTCTCAGCCTTTCTCTTTTGTAAGATAGTGATTATCTGCCATGTCTTTTCTTCTAGTTCTTTTGAAAGTATAGCTATAGTAGAGCTTAGAAAGGATTATTTAATTTTTTAAGTTTGGAATAAATGTGCAAGTTCTTCCTCCAGTATTGTTCTGATGTGTCCTCACTCTGTCTCTCCCACCCTTAGTTGAGGTTATAGTCATATCAGAGCTGTAAAACAACCTCCTCCTCCTCATTTTCTCCTTCAGCTTCATATCATTTTAATCCATCCTAATTAATGTCAAAATTAGGTTTTTTTAAAGTGTATGTAATATTGTCATTTCTATTAGAGTTCTTCTCTGATTCCTCATAGCTTTTAAGAAAGTTTGGCATTAAAAATATGTAATGAAAGGATGATCCTACATTTTCATCCATTCCTTGCCATTATAAGATACTTGGGTAAGCTACAGTTCCTAACCTTTTCTTTTCTTTTGTGCTCACACTGAGTCTTGAACTCACAGTATCTTTTCTTGCTTGCTCACAGCTTGGTGAGCCATGCCTCCATCCTAGCCTTTTGCTAGGAGTCTTCTCCTTCAACAGCTGGCCTCCTTTATTATCTTTAAGATTTTCCTTCATTACCATTTTCACCTTCTAACACCTACACCACTAGGAATACCTTTGAACACTTAAAATACATAATTTACAGTATTTAATTTGTTACATTATTAATGTTTGTTTCAACTGAACTTCTTTTTGAGTATAAGCTTTATTTACTACCATGCCCACCCACCCCACCTTGGCTGTACTTGGGGGCTCATACTTGCTAGGCAGGTGCTTTACTTCTCAAGCCAGACCTATAACTCCAAGTATAAGCAGTTAAAGGATTATATATTTTACTTCTAATCTTTTGGGGAAGATCAGTTTGATAGGAACTATTTTGTGAACAATCAGAGATTCTGTTGATTTAAGTATGCATTTGTCAAATCATGCTTTCATCTGGTCAGGCCTATATAGCTCTTACTGTTTCATCAGTGAGTAATGTTACAATGCTTCATTCAGTGCTGATATCTATATAAC